ATCTTGACATCTCAATTGTAAATTGATGAGACCTTGCCAGAAAAGACTGGGCTCATTAGGCCCAGAAGGAAACTAATCTAAAATAAGGAAAACTGAACTATAAAAAAAAAAAAAAAAAAAAAACACATAGAAGGCAATGGGAAAGCACACCATTATCTTTCACAAGGCATGGCTATTCAATGATCATGCATGTCTTGAATGGACCTAGTATATATAACACGTTAATTGAACAAGTTTTATATCCTTTGTCCAGACGTTCCAGATATCAGTTTAAAACGGTGCCTTCCTTTTTTTTTTTTTCCATATATCTAAACTATAAATTATGATTTTGGAAAGTGAAAATTTCATTTAACTGAAAATTTTTAGAAAATATTACAAGTTTTCATCTGAAATCAAGAAAAGATGGTTAGTGTTAAAAAAAAAAAAAAAAAAAAAAAGTAAGGTGTCTGTTTTAATAGACACCAGGAAGGTATCTGTTAAAGCATTAGGACTGTAAGACAACCCCCCCCCATTTCTCTGAAAAATAACTCCAACTTATAGCACAATATATGCTTTATGAAAAGTGAGTGGTATTTAGGCTATAGAGAGTAGCAGTATTCCTTGGTCTTGCAGTTGGTTCTGGACAAAGAATATAGTTTGGTGGGAAGTATATTGTCTAAACATTCTTCTGACACAGTAATTTAGCTCTCAAACTGAACAATTCTTAAGAATTTTACAGTCTTCTAGTATGCCAACAGATATGCTGTGTATTTTAGAATCTTGTTGATAATTAAAGAGGTGCTGGATCATCAGTTACTAAAAAATTGGTGGTCTACCTTAATCAGATTTTGAACTCAAACTGCATTCATGTTGCACCATGTAACCAATATCCTGTATCAAAAGAACATTCTTAGAATGCCAACTGCCTTTTAATTATTATTAGTGCCAAACCATGTTAATAGAACTTTTAATTTTGTTCTATAATAATTGAGCATTCTGTGTTGTAAAGTGAAAGAGAGGAGAGTCGAAATGTTATATTTATCAACAAATAAAGAAATACCAGATTACTTACATTTTTGGGGTCAATGAACGGTTTAATGACATTATAAAAGTTAGATTCATGAATTCATGCACAGCATGTTAAGTAAACGCCTTGAATCATAGATTTATGCTTTGGATGTTTACCAATTCACTTTTAACATACTCAGGATCCATATCCTTACATGGATACATTCATTTTCAGCTTGTTTACTTAGGTCTTCTGTTTTAAAAGACAGATAAAATTTTACTCCTTGAAAAAGCATCTTTCCTCTTATTTTCTAAGACATTTAACATCAGTATATTATAGAGTTGAAATTAACAATCAATATCAAAGCATTTTTGGATTGCTTATTTATTGCTATAAACATTTTTGGTGGGTACATGTGTTTGAGTTGATACCCACCATGTTTTCATTTTCTTAAACAGTGGATTTAATGCCAACCAGCCTATATCAAGAAGTCATACTAGGAAAAAAGAGAAAAAAAGCACACATTCCTAGCAGGAATTGAACCATTTCCATCTAGGAAACTATTATAGCTGAAGTGGGCCCTTACCAATTAAGCCCCAGGAGACTATCACAAGGCAAGGCTTAATTACCTCCTTGTGGATTGCACACCTCTCGTTAGGACTTTCCAAATCTATATCTGCTAACTTTATGTTTGCACCCAAAACATAAACAGTAATTTAAACAATTTTTTTAATCTAAAATTATTTATTATAATAAACATATCCTTTAGTGAATATGCATGTTTGAGTTGACATACCTGTGTTTTTTTTTTTTTAACTTTCTTAAAGTGAAATTAATGGTAATCAGCCTATAAATGTAATTAAGCCGTGCTTAATTACTGTTTCTGATGGTCTAATTAGTAAGAGAGTATACTTCAGCTACAGGAGTGATTTTCCTGATTAAAAAAAAAAAAAAAAAGAAATCCATTTTTTTATTTATTTAGTAACACTTCTTGATCTAAGTCAATTGACAAAAGAGAGAAAGAAAAAAAAAATGTCAACTGTATTTACCCACTAAAAGTAATATTTATTGTGATAAAAAAAAAAAAAAAAAAAAAAGTCATTCTAAGAAATCCATTTCAAAATTATTGCTATCACTCATCAAGGAAAAGAAAAGCTCATTGAATAAGAGCAAAAGGATTTATTTTTAAACTGGATGACTGGCCATTTAGCAAAAACAAAATTGCTAATAGATTTTAACAATAAAATAACAATACAATTAAAAATAAAAACTTTATTTTATTTGAATTGATTCTAAGGTTTTGCTAAAACCACAAACTTTTATAACTTAGTTTTAAGAAAAGCAAACATTTGTTAAAACAAATTTACCACATAAGAGTCCCATCCCAAATTTGACCATCAGAATCACTATGGTCAAGTTTAAGATGTATAAGTCATGAAATGAAAGACCCAGGCAACTTTAAAATGATTTATAATGTATTTTTCCAATATATTACATGTTTAAATTGAGAGTGTCATACACTGCCAAATGCATGTATTAATTTTGTTATTGCAATAAAGAACAATTTTAGTACTACTTATTCAAGAATAAAACTATCTCTAAAATATACACTAATGAAATCAAAAGAATAATTTTCCCTCCCTTCTCCCCTTTTCAAAAAACAAAATTTTATTAATTTGAGGTGATATGCATGCTCACATACGTTTTTCTTTTCTTTAATAATCTAACCAATTCATTCCTCATTAGCTTTTATCAACCATGATTTTGATTTTCGTAAATAATACTATTGTCCCATAGCAGTCGTTACTTTTGTATGGCTCACCTATTGTTCAGTTTACACTCCTCCCAGGCTTTTTTGTATAAGAGTAGAGGTTTATCCCTTATTTTTTGTTTAAGACTGCATTTCCGCTTCCTTCAACTCTGTACTTCTGATATCTCTGCCTGAAATCTAAAATTTTATTCAGTAATTATTTTTTGCTCTGCCAATGGGAGTAGATAGGTTTGTCTCGTCTAATTCACAGTCCTCCCTGATCTTTTGAGCAGGAGTTTTCATCCCTTGTTTCCTGTTTAGGATTGGTTTTCGGTCCCTTCTAAAATTTACTTCAACAATATACTCCGAACATCTCCACCTGAACTCTGAAATTTTATTCACTAATTAAATCTTGACTTATTTAAGTCTAGAATTAGCTGTTATCTTGCCCTTTCTTATGCTATTACAACTCCACACAGTAACCCTCTACTTTGAGTGGCCCTTGGGCCTTGTATTGGGTGAACCATAGACTAAATATAACGACTATTATGGGACTGAAGTAACATCAGATTTATAGAGACTGACAATCTTGAGCCACACATAAGATATATTGTTCTTTTTATGTTACTTCTAGCAACAGAAAAATCAAAGAGAGACCTCATTAAAATATGTCATGCCATACCAATAATCGATGATATTGAAATGGTATTCATACCATTTCAATATCATCGATTATTGGTATGGTAGTTTTTACCACATTGTTAACTGGAATCAATGCTCTTAAGATCATAGAAAACAAATATAAAAAAAAAGAAAAAAAAAAGAAAAAAGGAAAAAAGATTTTCATATCATAACAAAAGCTATTAAAGGAACATTGTCTATTGTGATAATTTTTATAACAGAATAGGACGTATTTTTGGACCCCCTAAATGACTCATTATAAAAGATATTAGCATTTTTGGCTGATTTCTTTTACTAAATTTGTTGGAATCATTTTTAAAAAAATATATATTTGTTTTCTATAATCTCAAAAAAATTATTCATTTTGTCATGTAAAATAAATTCACAAGATGATACATAATAAAAAGCTGCCTCTGATATTTAAGGATATTTTTTTAAAATGTATCAATTTTGATTCAACTTGAAAAGGAAAAAGTCAAAACAATATGATTGGATAAATTTTTTTTTTAAACTAATAATTGTGTTGTCTTAAAAAAAAAAAAAAAAAAGTTATGACACATTTTCTTCAAATGAATAAAAAAAAAAAAAAAAAAAAAAAAAAAGTTTGGAAAACAAGACATTAAAAGATCTAGATTAAAAAATAAGATGTGCTTGACAACATTGACATATTGCTTCCAAAATGTACAAATATAGAATGAAATCAATGTTAGGATTTCTAGAGTTATTGGCAGTTTTCTCAACCTCCTTAAAAAAAAAAAAAAAAAAAAAAAAAAAAAAAAAAAAAGTTTAAATCTGATGCAAAAGCATGCAGCCCACAAAATTTTCTGCCAAGTCCGCATACAAATTTTATAAAGATCCTTATACAGCTGCTCTTTTTTTTTTTTTTTAAGATTTGGACTCAATATATTTCTTTCTTCAATATTGAGAGGCCTGTACAGCTTTTAATGATTCCTTTTGAATATGCCCATATACTGGCTGCAAGTGACCAGTAAAAATTAAAATTAAAAATTCATTCATAGAAAATTTAGAAAATAAGAAAATAATAATAAAGAAAGAAAAACTCTTTAAGTTAACAAAATAATATTTTTTTTTTAAATTAAGGGTAAAACATCCTTGGAGTTGAAGGTTCATTTTTGTCTTCACAGCTGTGACCAACATTAGCTGGTAAAGAGGGTGTGGAAGCTTTGAGTCTTTCCATTTCTGCAGCATATATTTTTTCATAGGCATACACCATAACACCAGATACGACAAGAAGGTTGCCACACCACCACAGAAAAGATTTCTGCTCATGAAAATATAATACCGCCAATATAGTCTGTACAACCGACTTTGCATTGATACTGATATGATGAGTAACAGGGGATGTGTATTTTATTTGCAGGGCACTGGCCCAACCAATGCCCAGGCTGAGGAGACCTGAGCAAGTCAGAAAAATCCAAAACCAAGGGTCATAAAAGGTTGGCGAGTTAATCACCATTGATAGTTGTCCTGAACTATAGATAAGTGGAATAAAGATGATTGCTCCATTGATGCTATTGCAATACGTGAGTTTTAATGTGTCACCTTTGACAATTTTTTCACCTTTTTTTAGATAGATTCCACAGAGGGCAATAAAAAAACTTGCTACTATTCCATAAAGGATGCCCCATAGAGACAAAGTTCCAGACACATCCTCCTCTTTGACACTGAGGGAAAATCCCCCAATGACTAAGCAACAACAGACAAGAACCTTCTTTGTGAATGGCTTGCTGAGAATGTAAACCGAAAGCATCACAGTAAAGACGAGCGTGAAAGAACGTGCTACTTGATAGAAGGCAACACTGATATGCTTCAACATTAAATTATTCAATGTCAATCCGCCGACAAACGTGTAGGAGAGGATAAGGATGTCCTGTTCAAGAAGTGTCCGGGCACTCACGGAAGGGATCTGGAACGACCATTTCATGGAGTTGAAGAGGAGGCCGGATACAAAGATGACAATGGAACCTGTACAGCATTGGTACCAAGCGACAAATATTGACAAGTCATAGTTGCCAAAGCTGCCACTGAGAATGTGTTTGTTGACAAAGATGAGAGACAATGACACTATCCAGTAGAGGACAATGACACAGGTGACCTTCCAGAACTCCACATCACGTTTCCAACTCCTGGTTACAGAGATCATCCTGAAGTGAAGAAAGAAAAAAAAAAGAAAAAGAAAAAAAAAAGAAAAGAAAGATAGATAAATTAGTAAAATTATTAACAATAATAATAATTATATATATATTATACACGTGCACACACAAGGGTGGATCAATATGTAGATTGACATAGTGAAATTTTGATCTTAAAATTTCCACTGCATAATATTCATTCTATACAATTATTGTTTAATACTACTGAAATAATCTTCAGAGTCTGTCTATATTTCTGAGATGAGGTATTATGTACATTATTCGGACTATTGTCCTCATCTTTGTCGCCATATTTATCACAACATTTCGGCTGTTGTATGCTCCAGCCTTCTTCAGGTGGTTGGAATGTCGAATTGAACCCTTTATTTCGCTCACTGGGGTTAAGGCAGTGGAGAACTTTCAGAGGGAAAATTAACAGGAGATAACTGACATCCATCAAAACATGGCACGTGGAACTAGAACAGTCTACCCCAGTGAGCGAAATAAAGGGTTCAGTTCGACATTTCAACCACCTGAAGAAGGCTGGAGCATACAACGGTGAAACGTTGTGATAAATATGGTGACAAAGATGAGGACAATAGTCCAAATAATGTAAATAATGAAATAATCTTTCTTTGTTAATGCATTTATGTTGAAAATAAACATTTGTTCTGCAAAATAAATGCCTCTATCTTTAGGTTATGAATTTATTGATTTACCTATACGAGATATTTTTAAAATATTAAAATTAATGTCACTAGAAATTTACAATCTATGCAAGTTCCTTTTAAAAGAGAAAAAAAAAAAGATTTTGGTTAAAGTGTTAATTTTTTGTAGAAATATTTTTATGCGTTTTAAATGACTATGACCTTAATTTCATTAGTAAATTTGTAAAGTTTTTTTAGTAAGGTTCAATTTACAATGTAACTAAGGCCATAGTTTTAAAGTAAATAAGCATTAAAAAAAAAAAAAAAAAATTGCCTTTTCTCTGCAAGTAAGAACTCAATTTATGGTGTTTTGAAACACTAACTCCCAACTTCAGGTTGAAAAAATTTTTTTTTTTTTTTAAATTACCCATAAATTTTTGGGCCAGTTTAGCAGTATATTGATGTTATAAATAAAATATTTCATGTTAAACACAGTCAGGCTCCAATTTGGTACAATGCATAAACTGATCCCTCACTTTAGAGGGACTTTAATTGCTTCCACTTTAAAACCAAATGTTTCTCATAAAGAGCAGAATAAACACATTTTCAGAGAAAAATGATTTTTCTAGTTTAACAAAATCTTGACCTGCCAAATTAAAATAGAAAAATGATTCATTAATAATTGAGGGATATGGATAGAAATAAATAATTGCAAAAAAAAAAAAAAAAAAAAATAAAATAAAATAAAAGAAAATGAGGATTTAAATTCTCCAAGGAGTTATGTATATAACATTAAGCAGTATAAAAATGATTTTAAAATTTCATAAAATTAATTGTGAATAACAGATTTAAAAAAAAAAAAAAAAAAAAAAAATAAAATAAAAAATCTGACAATTATTTGATTTTTACAAGAATTTGCAAATCAATGTGTTTTTCACTGCAAAAATTCCCTATACTATTCTTTGGTCCTTTGCTGATGAAGAAAAACAATTTTTAACCAAAATTTTGAATGTTAAAAAAAAAAAAAAAAAAAAAATCATTTAGTCTTCCCTTTTAATAATAACAGATTTTGATGATAAAAACTTTGTTTTCATTAAGTTTGGAGTGATTTTTCATCATGGTATGTTCATTTTTTATTGAATCTGTGGTGGTACCTACTATACTATTACATTTATAGTTTGATTCCCAGTGCCAGCAAGGTGAAGTTTATCATTACTTTTGGAGAAGTATAAAAAAAAAAAAAAAAAAAAAAATGAAATGTGGCTGGCTTCAGTTACTTTCCCACCACTGCAACATAGCTTCTGCTGTGCCTTTTCTATAAATACTTTCTTGGTAATTGTTCTGTTGAACTTTCATCTATGGTACATCAACTTTATGAATTTAAATGCAGTACTAGATTGGTGGTCAGGTCTCATCAATTAAAGTTGGAATGGCTAGATTTAATGAAGTTCTACGCTAACAGTTTCTTCTCTCACACTTCTTGCTTGTGAAACTTGCTTCTTGCTTATCAATTAATTTTGATTTTCAAAAATTTAAATACAATGTCAATTGTTGGCTTCTTTTAATTCTTATTCTGTTATTGTCCTCTCTCTCCTTAATAGTATTTTTTTCTCATATTCTTTAACATTCAATAACTGTCCTAATGGCTTTATTGCCTTGTTTGGAATGAGAAGAAAAAATGCTTTTCTTCCAGTGAACAATTTTGTTATAAGAACTTTACTAAAAAAAAAAAGTCTAAAAATGCATAATTCATATTTAGTTGTTCTATCTACAGCTCAGATGTTAAGATTTTCAACACTGAAAAATAATTTCTAACTTTGCTAGTAATAAAATTGATGGAAATATTTTTTCCTTAATCTTAATAATTATAAACAACTGGTCATAGATGAGTTGCTCCTATATAAGAACTATAAATTTTCCCTATCAAATGTCATGCTAACTAACGGTTGAATGAAAATAGCTTATATTAAAATAGTCTACTTCTTGAGAGCAATGTGAAAGACGGGAAAAGTAAAAGGTTAAAATCTGACACATTTCATAAAATGACAACTTTTGAAAGTTGTGCACACAAAAATAATAAACATTCCTTAGAATTGCAATTTTCAAGCAAACAATTTTTTTTTGGTGACTTAAAGTATTTATTATTTAAAACTCATTTTTCATCTTTTAGATGTTTACAAACAAAATCTCAATACAATGATGTGTTGCAGCTCAGACCAGACACCAGGTTTTTTATTTTTCAGCCAAATGTGTGTGACTTAAAAATTACCCTTCGGCCAGATTGTTACCTAGAACAAAAAAAAAAAAAAAAAGAAAAAAATTTCTAGCAGTAAACCAGATTTTATTCTTGGGTTGTAACTTATTGCTATCTTCAAGCAAAGTAGACATGAGGTGTATATGCACAGCCAAGCAGCTGTCTACCCTGACCATTCTCAGAGACCCGCTTTGTCTCTTTGCACACCTTTTTGCAGGATGGTCAGTTTTATAGTTTTCTTTGCTTCGTCATATTCATCTAAAAAAGTAATTTATCTGCCTTCTGTGATTTTCTTGGCACTTCGAAGTTGACTTCACTTACTGATAATCATTAGTCGAAAGTAAATGTTCCATATCCATTTTTGCAACAGGTCCAGCTATTTTCAATTTAACATGATCTTGACCAACTCATAATGCTACATTGTTCCTTCTATAAAGAAAAAAATAAAATAAAAGAGGGTTGATCTAATCTTAAACCCCCATAATTATTGATGCGCAAGATGCAGAATTTCATGACCCCAAATTAGGGGTGTATGAAAAAAAAAAAAAAAAAAAAAAATCTTGTGTATAATACATAATGACTTTTTAAAATTTGTAACAGCTAAATTTAGCATCTATTCAACATTTTGACCAGTTTGCATTGACTAAGAATTTATACAGTTAGGTTTTGAAATACAAAATTTACATTGCATCAAGAACAGTAGTTACCAAACTTGTCTGGATTGCCACACCCTTGTCTATTAAAACAACCCTAAAGCCCTCCCCCAAATTTATAGTCAACCTTTGATTGGATTTTCTTGGTGCTAGTATTGCATGTCAAATGTGTAAATTACTATTTCCCATAATAATTGTTATATAAATGGGATATGTTGTAAAGTGAAGGCAAAGTGATATACACTTTGGGTACAACATGTGCATGTGTGCGAGAGATATGATTCAGAGGGGCCACTGCCATCCTCTGGCTGCACTCTTTTTTCCTCTCCAGATATTTCCACCAACCCCAGGGCAGCATTATTGCACATTTTAGGAATCACCAATTTAGGACATGTTCATATAAAAATGTAACCAACAGGAGGCTAAAATTATAAAGAAACACATGGCTAGTGACTATTTCTTAACAGTAGTATAAAACAGAAGTGGACATTATTATTTATTATGCCCATGTTTAGCATATAAATGACTGAAGGTATGGAGGAGGGTTGGGAGATCTTTCATGTTACTGGCAAAGTAGAAGTATTAGAAAGCTGACAAAACCATTCTTAAAAATCACGGTGTCAAACGATATTAAAAAAAAAAAAAAAAAAAAAAAAAGAAGCTATATCATGAACTCAGTAAATATGATCCTTTCTGAGGAAAAAGGACAAGATGGCACTGTGGATAAAAACATTGAAAATGATGGAAGGCATCTACTATGTTGATGTAACTGAAACTGTCATGACCTTTCTCTTTAGTTCAGGCAAGGAAACAGAATAAAAGCCGCTTAATATCTATAATTATTTTAAAGCTGCTTAATATCTAAAATTATTTTTTAACAAACATACTGTTTAGTGATTTAATTTTTTTTTTTTGTTTGTTAATTTTAACTATTAGATACAACTTACTTTCGGTCATACTGTCCCTGAATGTGGCGATGCATGTAGCCAGAAAATAGTTTATATTTAACTTCTTGTGTATAATATGCTCCAAACTTTTGGGCCTAGAAATCTGGAAAAAAAGTATGTATTATATACAATTACAATACTTGGAAACTTCAGTAATAAATAAATGACAAACTAGTTTATATATTAGACTGAGTTTGATGATATATTTAAAATAAGTTTTCAATTAAACATACTTTGTTATATTAAAACTCCATAAAATTATACAAGAATTTGAGATAATGTTAAAATTCTATACTGAAATCCTAAAAAAAAAAATCTACTTTTATTCCTCTTAGGAAGAAAGACTACAGCGAAAATGGTAAACCAATTCTAATCTCTGTAGCTTATATAAAAATGTCCAAGCTTTTCAAATAAACAACTGTCTGGTCATTCCAATTATTTTCTATGATGAGACAATGTCACTCATGATATATACATTCTCCATCAATAAGGCAAGCAAGATGAATTTAGATTCTATTGCTATACAAAATTGAAAATAGATATTAGAAGTTTGCTTTAATAATAATAGTTACATTTAGAATGTAAACAATTTTATTTTTAGCACATGTCAAATATTAACTTTTTCATTTGTTTATATAAAATTTGTTTTGATTTCTCATCAATTTACTTTCAAACAAAAAACTGAATATAAATGGCTATAATTTTTATGTTACAGAAAAAAAAAAATTAAAAATAAGAATGGATCCTGTTAAAGATCCTTATTGAAATATAACCATCTAAAAAGGTATTAAATTCAAAAAATGTACAATAGTTGCTTTTGGTAATTTTTCTCCTTTACAGTTTTTTTTAATCTCTTGCTGGGATGGTCAAAATAGAAATATTTATTGTATTTCAAGATGGCTGATCTAGTTTTGATGAAAGTTTTGTAAATAATTGTATAGAACATAACCTTTCTTTTTTTTTCCGACAGAATATTTAAAGGTTAATTTTTCTTTCTTTAAAATCCTGTTCAAGATGTGTTTATAAAAAAAAAACAAATACAAAATTAGCATGTGCATATGCGAAAAAAAAAAAAAAAATTATTTTCTTTGGAAAACAGTTTTTTTTTTCCTAAGATTACGCTTTGAATCTTTGATATAGAGGGTTTTAACTTTTAGTTTTAAATTAAAAGTAAAATTCTTTGTATCAAAGATTCAAAGTTAGAAAAATTATCCCGTTTTCCAAAGAAAACAATATTTTTTTTTTATTTAAGATATTTCATAATGTTTAAGTTATATAATATAATAATTTATGCTTTAGAATTTACATTAAATAAAAGTAAATTCCTCTTTGTGTATGTATTGTCGAAAATACGGTGGAGTAATGGATAGCGGCTCGGATTGAAAGCCGAGTTTGAATTCCATTTGAATCCATTACGATTCACTTATGTGCTAAAATACCCTTGGGAAAGGTATGAATCCTCTTCTCCCTCCAGCTATGGGTAAATAGCAGGACAGACCGGGTTATACCCTTGGATGGTGACTGGAGAAAGAAATGGTAACCTACTGCGAGAAAAAATCTGTCTCGTCAGTCATGTATTGAAAGATACATGATCGCCTAAGCGGGTATCACGCATGGCACATAAATGACTGTATATATCGTCAGAGGATGGATCAACAATTATTAAATGACAATTATTTATTCAACATATGATTAATATTCAATACCTAAGTAAGTACATTGAGAAGATTATTATGTTGAAAAATATTTTACTGTCAAAGATGTATATTCACCATGAGGCTACAGACTTTATTGATGAAGCTGCACACAATATCGAGAGACAAGAAGAGAAAAATATTGTTATTGTAACAATGATAATTGTTAAAAATTGATCGTATTTTAAATTGTCGGGTCATTTTCAGTTTTTTCTTTTTTACTGAAGCGTGAATATGTTTTAAAAATTCGAAAAATGACTTTTTCTAAATCATTTTTTTTTTCCGAATTAAACATATTTCGGTGTAACTGGAAGCTATAATATCAGCTATGTTTCATTCCTGGTGTCATTAGGTGTTTCAAACCTCTAAAAATATCAGAACGCCTCTCCCAGGTGGCCCAGCCAGGAGTGATCACCTCCCCCAAACCTCTGAAATAAATCCACGAATTTTAGTCTGAGCCATGGTTTGAAGAGAATGTCAAAAGAATAAGCCTTGCTTCTTAAAACACTGCCCCGTCAAAACATAGAAGAACCCTTGAGTGAGAGAGAGAGAGAGAGGGAAACTAATGAAAAAAAAAAAAAATAGTTTCCTAAAAATAAAATAAATAATCTAGAACAGATTATTTCTCATCATTTAAGCCATCTCTCTCTACTTTTATGTCAATGATAACTCGATTTAAGAGAAAGTAGACAGGTTCTACATGACGAAAGTAGAAGTGACATAACTGGATTTTCTAAATGTATTTCACATGATACACGAGGTTGGTATTTCTTTAGTGTATTACTTTTACTTGGTATTATTTACTATCAATGAAAGTTGATTAATGTTACTAACTGGAGGGAAACGAAGGTGATAAATTTTTATTTTTGATTATTAACTTATCTGTTCCATTATTTTAAATTAATTTAGAACCGAAAGAAAAAAAAAAAAAAGCGTGTTACAAAATAAAAAATGAATACATATTTTAAGTTAATAATGAAGTACTTAGTAGTACTAGGATTGAAATGTGAACTTGAGATTTTTTTTTTTTTAATTATTTATCCAGTTTAAAAATAAAATTTTAAAATGAACAGCTTTTCAAATCGTTTTAGTGAAAAAAAAAAAAAAAAAAAAAAAAATATATTACTTATTAATTGACAGTCATTTCAAGATCAAAGCCAAATCAATTATCAAATTTGAGAAAGAATTTAGAGAGGTGAAATTTAACGAGTTCCCCGACCAAAGATACCGCGGCCATGTGACTAGAGTCACTACTAGACCCTCCTAAAAAAAAAAAAAAAAAAAAAAAAAAACACCTCAAAAAACAAAAAAAAAAAAAAACAAACAAAAACAACCCTGATATTTTCAAGATGAAAAGGCCCGGAAAAAATACAGATCCGTCATGCGATTGATTTGTTTAAGACAACGGAAAAAAAAGTGAAAACAGATTGTTGGAAATATTGCAAAGTGTTTCTTTAAGATTTGTGCAACTTCTTAAAATAAAATGAAATGTACTACTGATCTGAGTTTTTTTAAGCATCTTTTCAGAATGAATGCATTATTTGAGGAAATTAAATTTAAGATATCAGATTAAAATTCAAAAACAAAATTGTTAGTAAATGATATTTTTAATTTAAAAAAATATTCACATATTCAGCTGGAATAAATTTTAAACAGTTCGTTCCGGCGTAACAACAATAAAAAATAAAAAAGATTGCTCTCTGAAATAAGGAACTTGTTCTGTCAAGCAAGAATATCGAATGAATATATTTTTCTTTGTCGCAGTCATGAGTAAATTATTTTAGTCGGCTTTAGTAAAAAAAATGTTAAAGTTCAAACCTTAAGGGGGGGGGCTGCAATTTCCTTCAAAATGCTCACTTTCCCATAGTTTCAAAAAAGGGGATCACTTTTTTTAGTCAGTGCTTGGTAAAATATCCTGACAAAAGAAAGAAGCAGGCTTTCTCTCTCGCTATTGAGACATTTGTTTTAAAATTAAATGCACTCTGCAACATCCTTAAGCTTTTTAGTTTTATTTAAAAATTAAACAGGCACACTTCCATGCCGTTTTTAATTCTTCTAACTTTAATAATCGAGTACCGATAAACAGTTTTTCTTTACGCTTACACTACAGTACAATATAAAATGGTAAAAGAACCATGAAATATTAATTGGGCTTTTTATATTTTTCCTGTTTAGTACTAACTACTAATTAATTTTGGAGGTTTTATTTTTCTATCGATCTTGAAATTTATTCAAGTATTGAAGAAATCAACGTAAATAAAAAGTACACAAAGAAAATATTTAAAAAGTAAAGTTTGTTTCGTGTTGCTATATAATGGGTAAGAAACCATGTTCATTATGAAAAATTTGAAATTCATAAGAAATTTTTCGATCTCGTTCTACTTGACAAAAAAAAAAAAAAATTAGTTTTTAGCGTAATTAAAGATTTAAATTTACCACGATTTTTTTAAAAATCCTACATAATTTATTTTAAAGCTTAATGTCGATGCACAACAAATAAAAACAAACACGGAAAAAAAAAATAAGACGGAAAAATAAATAGGAAAGTCAATACGATTGAATCACAAAGTACTCTCTTTATATTTTATTTTTAAAATAAAAAAGGTTGTTCGATCATCTTATTGTTAAAAATATCTTGTGAAACGTCCTGTGAATAAGTAAGGAATTAATTATTTAAATGTTTTTTTTCTTTTTTTTTACAAATTTTTCTCTTGTTAGTTATTTTTTTAATTTCCACTTTTTTTTTATTTCTATATTGTAGGCTAAAAACAAAAACATGAAAAAAGATTGCTCTGCTGTCAACAGTTTTAAAATCAGGTCTATGAGGCAGGTTAAAAAAATTAATAAGAATTAATAATTAATAATACATAAATAAAACTACAAATTTTAAAAAGGAATTTTTAACCGGGTAAGATTGAATTAAGATAAAATGCTAGAAACTTTTGGTATTGTCGAAATATAACGCTATGAATAAGTACCAATTTATTTAAATATAGTTTAAGAAAGTTTTTTTTCTTACCTTGATCTCAACCTGTCGCCAGGAACGTACAAATCAATCAATTGGTTATGGCCACACTAGCAAACCATTTAAAGCACCTAAGTGTAAGCAGTTAAGTCAATAGTATGTATGTATTATTCCTAAGAGTTGGATAAAGCAGAAATAATAAGGAATACAAGTTAATATTTTCTTAAAATCGTTTATAAAAGAAAAAAGATAATAAGCATGCATACGAAACCAGTTCGCTGTGTCAGTTTGGCAAAATGCTATGCCTGAAGAAGTCCGAGGAAAAGAAAAGTGATAACAAAACTGTATTTGCTTTAACTAGGCGGTCACGTCGCTTAAGTGTTTGGCAAAGTACTCCGGTAGTCGCTGATCATCTCTTATCAGACACAGTAATTTATTACTGCATTCACTCATGGAAAATAACGTCGACTGTGAAGAGCATTTACAAGAAAGTAACTCAGCAACCGCCATCATTGCAATGTCCTCCACACAATGGTGAGAATGGTATCACGTGATGCGCCTAACCATTAATAGGAGGGTTTAACAGTGTGATCTCCGAACAGAGAAAACGAGGGTTTTTTTTTTTTTTGTCAGCGCACTGGTTCGACTGAGAATCCCAGGTCTTTGCAATTTGAAGCTAACTCATTACATTACACCAGGCAGAATGAAAGGAGCAAGCTGCAAATACCCATGTTTGCTGCTAATAGCTAATACTTATTTTCATTAAAAAGGGAAAAAAGAAAGGCACAAGGCCTCAGTATTTCGAGGGTTTTTAGTTTAACGAACCATTCTCTAAATTTTTTTGCTAATCATGTTACAGCTTTAAACGTCACAAAGCATCATAAAATGTTAGTTTGTTGGTGAAAATATTATTGTATTGAGAGAAAGTAAATGAGTTATGATGGATAAAGAATATTAAAAAAAAGATGTAATTAAAAATAAATAAAGTTATGAAAGAATAGGAAATTTAACATGCCATTTGAAAAATTATTAGGTTGTTGAGAAAATAATGCAGCTTTTTAACCATTAAGTGACAGATCTTGAATTGTCTCCATTGCGTTATGTGTGTGCGTGTGTGTTCAGAAGTGTATTGAGTGGAATGAACAAATCCAAGTCTCAAAATAACTGTTCAACAGCTTTTATTTGTGGTTGAAAAGAGAGAGTGAAAAATAGTGGTATTTTGCTGGAAAAAAGTTGGGTTTCCCAGTTAACAAAGTTCTTCTCTTGAGTAGATGTTTCGTAGAGAGAGATTTCTCCACTTCTTCCCATGAGAAATCTGAATGTCAAAATGCTAGGACTGGTATGTGTCTTCTGCAGCAAGGAAAAGGAGATTTCTCCACTTGTCCCCACAAGGAACAAGAAATCTCAGGTCAAGCTGCCAAGGACTGTCCATGTGTCTTCTGCAGTAAGGGTTGTGAGTACTCCTTCAAGCTGGGCTTTGAAAGTAGCTGCTGCTGAAAAGGAAAAGTGGAAAAAAGGCTGAGTTAGTGATTTTATGAGTTCTGGGACTTCTGGTTGTTCTCTGCTGATTACTTCTATTGCTGCTACTGCTGAATCAAGAAAAGTAAGGAAGCCCCCACATGCCACAATAGCCAACAAATGAGATAGTTATTATAATCTTACTTCAGAAGAATTTTTATTAATCAAAATAAGAGACATAAGATTCTATATGTTTTTGCCAACAAGATACAAGCATTGTTATTCTGTGAGCATAGAAGTTAAAAGTTTGGGAAGCAAAAAAATCTTTGAAGGCAATTTGGACAGAAATTGAATTGTTGAAAATCCTTCATTGTAAGAAGTTGTCCAAATGTTTGAAAAGAGGTTAGGCGAGTAAAATAGATGAGGTAGAGTTTCATAGCCCAATTAATTCAATTTCTGTAGCATTCATTGTGCAACATGAAGGACTGAACCTTTTCTATTGACTAGTGCTGGATGCATATGCTGCAATTTCTGATGCATTTGATTAATTTCTTGGCAATACTTCTCAACTGTGATTGTTTCATCAAGATTTTAACTTTTCCTAGAACATTTGTATGAAAGTATCATTTGTATGATCAGCCTTGGCCAGAATTTAAACTCTGTTCAACAAGCCCACCTTCTGAACCATAAAGGATCTTTTCTGCTTTCCATCAAAATGGCTGATGCTAACCTCCAGGAGAGCAACTCTTTGTGTCTTTTTGGTCACACATTTTTTGTTGACATAAAGTGGAGTGATTAAATTGAATCAATTGCCAGGATCTATAGGTAAGTCTATTTGTAAGTCTACCATTCATCCTTGCATCGAATATCACTGCCACATCTGGTCTGGTGCTTCTCTTATATATCTAGAGATTCTTGAAAAAATCCAAAGAAGTATCTGCAACATTATCAGTCCTGCCCTGGCATCTCGGCTTCAGTCACTTATCCTATGCTATAGAGTAACTTCCCTTTCCTGCTTCTATAAATTCATGGTAACTCTTCTGATGAGCTTTCTTATTTGATACCTAGACTTCACGAATTTAAGCAAAATACTAAATTAGCAGCTAGGTCTCATAATGTCTTTTTGGTCACACATATTCTGCTGACATGAAGTGGAGTGATTAAATTGAATCAATTGCTAAGGCTGCGACCAGGAAAGATGACTCACTGTATCGTGCCAGACAATTATTCTTGTCAGAATCCATTTTACACATTTATAAATCTATCAATGAATCAATATCTATCTTGAATATTGTTGCCATATATGGTTTGGTGCTCTGGCTATATATCTTGATATTCTTGAGAAAATCTAAAGAAGGGTCTGCAGTATAAAGAGTTCTGTTCTGGCATCTTGACTTCTGTCACTTTCCCACCACTGTGACATGGCTTCCCTCTACCTTTTCTATAAATATTTTTTATTTATTTATTTTCTTTATGGTAATTGTTCTCATGAGCTTTTCTCTTAGTTAGATTGAGTGCAAGAATTTAAACATACTACTAGGTTGGCAATTAGGTCTCATTGTTTTACTGTTGAATTGACTAACAGTAAGTTCTATTTTAATAGTTTCTTTTCTTGCACTTGTTGTCTCTGGAACTCCCTTCCAGCCTCTTGCTTCCTACAATCTTTAAAAATTTAAATGCAATGTTAATCACCATCTTCTGTCTTCCTGAAACTTGTTTTTTTATTGTTCTTTTTGATTACTAAAGTTTTCTCATTTTTCCACTCTTAGTAACCTTTGCATCTTAGTGGCATTATTACCTTGCTTGGGGTGAAATGATTAAAAAAAAATCTTCTATGCTGCACTCACATTTTCTGCTGATGGAACCAAACACTCAAAACTAACAACTCTCCAGGAAGATTATACAGACAGACCATTAAGTGTTCAGTAAATTTCAACAATAGTCATATGATCACACTGTGAAATAAAACATTCAAGGTTTCTCTAACCAAATCAGCATAATGAGTGATCTTTCATTGTTGTTTAGAAATTTCAAGTGCCTATGATTTCATTACAAGCCAATCGATCAAGTTGCCTTTGTTCTTCTTTTGTTAACTCTTAACATTGAAGTGTCTTCCTTGGCAATGATTGTATTTTGCTGTGACTATCTCTGGGATAATTCTTACTTCACTGCAATAGAAAAAGGGCATTAATTTTGTCAGCTTGCTTCAATTTCAACTGAATACATATTACTGCTAACTGATATCATAGCATCTTCTTATTTTATGTGTCTTTTTAGTATATAGACAATCATGGATTTCTACAATTTCCCATCATTTGTTGCTGAAAGTAATTGTTTCTCCTTTACCATCCCTCGTTATGCTTGTTCTGTCTGTTGCATTTACACAAGCTCATTAACTAGGTTACCCACTGGATCCCTTATTTCTCTTAACTTCAATATGAAAATAAAATCATATAGAGATGACAGTGTAGATGGAAGACACAGAAGAAAAACTGCAGGAAATCCTAGACAAAGTAGCAAAGGAAAGCAACAAGAAAGGACTAATCATCAACTGTAGGAAGATTGAATATATTTTAGATAGCATGTTGTGTCCATAAAAAAATAAAAATGAATTATAGTGTCAAAATAATTATATTAAAATAATTATAACATTTATAATTATTATTAATTCACTCATTCTAAACCAATGAGAATTGACCCCACTTTTCTCCTTTACACACACAAATACGTGACTATAACAGAAAATCGGGTCAGCTTGATAAAAGACTCCAAGTTGGTTGTATGTGATGCTATAAGCACCAGCAATTGTGTCCCCTTCCACCATTGGCTGTTGAGAGAAGACCTTGTACTTAGGGTAGGTGGTGCTGCCTATTTGCATATGAACAATACTGGGCAGTCATTAGCCAATCGTCAGCGTGAGTCTGGGACTGAGAGAGCTATATAACACTAGTGTTTTCTAAGTTGGGAGAGCACGCTCAACTTGCAGACGTGTGAAAACCAGGCAAGACGAACACAGTGACATTCTCACTATTGGACAGGAAGTCAACATGGACAGGCCATAATAATGATATTTATCTTTTAGCACTCAACAAAAATTCAAGCTAAGAAAGACCTAGACACCTCTTGTATTTTCCAACCAACTAATCTGGACATTCATTACACACATCTATGAAAAACATACAGAAAGACTGTATACACTTTGCTTATTTTTTTTATCTTTTTATTTTTTTTTATCTTATATATATATATATATATATATATATATATATATATATATTTTTATCTTATCTTTTCATTTTATCTTGGATTCTGATCCATATTTAATCTACATTTGACCCCAAACTCACAATTTTACTCAGTATTACTTTCTCTCATTTTTTCTAACACCACATAACAACCAGATAATAAATAATACTCATTTTGTTGTTTCCATGTCGTTGTTGTTTCTCACTTTTACAAGTATTTTTGTATATATAAATATTAGCAGGTTTATAATTATTTACTCAGAGTTATAAGTACAGCCCAAGGGACAATTTTCATAATTCTGGGGAGTTATAGTTGTTTGATTTTAACATTTCCAATTGACAGCTTACATATTATAATCAAGCAAGTACATAGATTTAATTATGTGGGGAAATTTTATAACAGATGATAGAAATTATGACACAGAAATGAAAGTGCATTGGAATAACAAATTGCCTTCCAAAAGCTAAGCGAAGTATTAAGAAACAGAAAAATTGTCTCGACTCTCATTCCTTATTATGTGTCCCAGAAATTTTAGTAGTCTCATCCTGATTGTAAGTATAAGTTTCCTTGCTGATCCTATTTTCATTAAGACTTCCTTATTGCTCACATGTTCTTTCTATGGTATTCTTAGCAATTGTTGGTAGAACTATATCTCTATCTGTCTATATTTCTGAGATGAGGTATTATGTACATTATTTACATTATTCGGACTATTGTCCTCATCTTTGTCGCCATATTTATTACAACATTTCGGCCATTGTACACTCCGGCCTTCTACAGGTGGCTGGAATGTCGAACTGAACCCTTTATTTCGTTCACTGGGGTAGACTATTCTAGTTCCATGTGTCCTCAAGGACACATGGCACAGTGGATAAAGGCATTGGTTAGATCCAGTGACAGGACCCAAAGAGTGTGAGTTCAATACCCGGTTAAGGCAGTGGTGAACTTTCAGAGGGAAAATTAACAGGAGATAACTGATAACTGACATCCATTAAACATGGCACGTGGAACTAGAACAGTCTACCCCAGTGAACAAAATAAAGGGTTCAGTTCAACATTCCAACCACCTGAAGAAGTTGGGAGCGTACAATGGCCGAAATGTTGTAATAAATATGGCGACAAAGATGAGGACAATAGTCCGAATAATGTAAATAATGAACTATATCTCTGTTGCCTCAAGTTTCCTCTTCATCTAAGAGGAAATTGTCCAGCCACCACTGTCATATACTGAATTGATATTACATAGCAATTTAGCATTCTTTTCTTTGTTTTTAAATGAAATGTTCATGTTTCTTAATACTTTGAATTGAAGATGTCAGATTCAAGGAAGTACACAGATTTCACTATCTGGGAATTTTTATAACTGATAATAGAAATTGTGACACAGAAATCTGAAACTGCATCAGAATAACAAAAGTGCTTTCCAAAAGCTAAGCAAAGTATTAAGAAACAGAAAAATTCTCTCAACCCTCATTCCTTATTATGTGTCCCAGAAATGTTAGTTGTTGCATTCTGATTATAAGTATAAGTTTCCTATTTGTTCCTATTTCCATTAAAACTTCCTTATTGCTCACATGTTCTTTCTATGGTATTCTTAGCATTTGTTGATAGAACTACATTTCTTTTGCTTCAAGTCTCTTCATCTTTATCAGAGCTGAAAAGTGAGGATTGCACAGCTACAGCCCAGGTATGCCATTTTTGGTCTGACTCTTGTAAAGATAAAGCATAGCAGATGTAGTCAGGTACTCTCAATGAACTGAGCATTTTTCTAGCATCTTTAACAATGGATTGTATATATAAGTTCCACTTGAGGTCTGCAAGGAATATGAGACCTAATAGATATTCAGAAAATCATGGATTCTTATGGAGAGTGCAAACATTGATTATGACTGGAGAAAATCAAAGGTTTGATCAAGGGTGAAGAAATCATACTAACTTGGTTTTTGAAATATTAAAAATTACAAACCCTTTTTGAGTTGATTTGCTTTTATGGT